ATAACCAAACACACAACTCAAAATTCTATTAAAACTCACAAAAAAATTTAAAAATTTTGAAAAATATTTTTTTGTTGAATATATAAAAATTAACATGTGTCAATTGGCAAAAAAAAACAAAATTTACTATTCCGGTCAATTGGCCGGATGACCAGTGGGACGTCTGGAGGGACGACTGGTTAGTCTAAATTTTCTCGCCTTCAACAGCATTTTCAAAAGTGAACGTAAAATTAATTTTTCAAAATTATAAACAAATACTCTGTGAGAATATTATACTGAAACTAAAGTTCCAAAACTCAAACAAATAGAGCCGTAGTTTCTTTCTTTCAAACCAAACTAAATAATGTGCACGCGCGCGTGTGTTAGACATAGATGAAAACGTTAAGAAGAATTTTTTTTTTTTTTTTACTCATATCCCTCTCTCACATGTCTTACTTTCTTATCCATCCAAAGGTGATAGTGAGGAAATACAATATTTTCTTTTCTTTTCTCTTCCAAATGAGAAACCACAATCATTTTTTATTTTTTATTTTTTTTTATCAAGGTTCAATTTTTGTGAAGTCTCTTATAAAACATAAACTTTTAGATATTTTCAAACTACAAATAAAAAAAAAAAAATTGCAGTATTTTACCAAAAATACTTTGGGAAGTGTGGCATTTTTATTATATATTAGCCAAAAGGCTCATTTTTTAGCCACATTTTCCACTAAGCTTTTCAAAGCCTGAATGTTATGTACTTTGAAAAAATATTTAATAAATGTTCAAAATGCAAATGCATGGGGTAGTTTTTTTTTTCTGGGTGGTGTGGCTCACCCTTGAAATAGATCTAATTTACATTTCTCATGTTTCAATTCCTTCCATCAATGTAAGAGGTTAAGGGATCAATTCTTACTAAATAATTTTTCCACTATAACTAACTTATCACAAAGTGTTGAAAATGCTTAATACAGTGTAATTTTGTTCCCCTTGATTTAAAATTTTATATCAATGATTTAGAAGTCAAAATGAAATTAGAAAGCAAGAGAAACATGAATAAAATTTAGAGCGTGAAAATGTTATCAAAATTTTAAAAATAAATAATACATTAGTTTGAACATTGTATGCCTTTCACATGATGGTTTCCTGTCAATTTGTTTCCATAGAAATTGATGTAGGAACAATATTGAAGCTCACTTAAAAAAATGTCACTATCTATATATTGACATGGCTAAGGACAGGGCATTGATGGATGACTTTGTGATGAGAGGGAATAATGTCTCTGTGTCTTATTTACATTTGGTAATTGATACTATCGATATATTTTGTTGCCTGTGGAAGAGCATAAAGTGGTTAACTTATTTTGAATTTGAAGTATCACCAAATACTCGACGGTTTCCCATTAGGACAATCCTAGGTGCATAGATTTTTGGGCTTTGAAATACTTGGGGGTTTCCCATTGTGGTAATCCTAGGTGCATAGATTTTTGGGACCTAGTTATGTGAGAAAACAGTGAAAAGGTTGGAGGGTTAGAAAAAGGAATTGATTTCTAGTGAGGATGATTTACATTTGGTTCAACAGTGTCATCAAGTATTCCTATTTATCATTTATCCCTTTTTGAGTTTGGGTGAGTGCTTCAAACAAGATTAAAAGAATTATGATAGATTTATTGTGGAAGAGATGTGATGGATGGAAGAATGGTAACTTGACCAATTGGGAAGTGGCTTGTCTCCCAAAGACGAAACGGGCTCTTGTTGTTTGTAATATTGTTGCTAAAAATGAACCCTTGCTTGCCAAGTGGTTATGGATGTTTCCCATAGAATGTGCTACTCTATTTTATTCTGTCACTAAAATCAAGTATAGGGTTCAAGCTACTGGGTGGGATGCTAGAGTGGTAAATTGGGGAAATTCGTGTTCTCCTAAAACATGCATTTCTCAAGGTTTGGTTTTGTTTGTTTTGGGAAATAGGGAGAATATTCATTTTTGGGATGATGTTTAGGTTGGGGATGTTTCTTTTGATAATTCATTCACTTGATTATGTTGCTTATCCCATTCTCAGAATGCTCCCATTGCTTCTATGGCATAGTCCTTTCTTGTTTGTTCCAGTCTCTGGGAATTTCAATTATTTAGAAGTCTTAATGATCATTGATCGTGAGTGTAATGAGTTGACTTCTTTGTTATCTATTCTTGGTGGTGTTTCAATGATGTGCGATTGCGTTGATAAGAGATTGTGTATTGATCATACTTCGGGTCTTTTTTCTTCTATATTCTTTTTCTAACAATCGTTGAGAATCTAATTGTGCCACTCTTTGAGCCTTGTAAGATGATTTGGGATGCATATGTTCCTCTTAGAGTCAAAGTCTTTGTTTGGTTTGTGGCTTACAAAAAGATCAATAGCAATGGCATGATTCATAGTAGGAGACCTAATTGCTTGTTATCTCCACAATGTGTTGTGGCTTACAAAAAGATCAATACCAATAGCATGATTCATACACTACAAGAAAAAGCGTTTTTGGCGACCAAAATTTCATTTTTCGTCGCTGAAAGTAGTAGAAATGGCGACTAAAATGGAATTAGTCGCCAAAATTGAACACTTTTGCCGACTAAAAGACTTTAGTCGCCGAATACAATGGTTTTAGCGACTAAAAGGCAGTTTAGTCGCCGAATGTAGGGGTTTTAGCGACTAAAGGTTGTTTAGTAGCCAAAAGTGACGGTTTTTGGCGACTAAAATAATTTAGTAGCCAAAAGTGATAGTTTTGGCGACTAAAAACAGATTGGTCGCCGATTGTAGGTGTTTTGCCCACTAAAAACAGATTGGTCGCTGAAAGTGAAGCTTTTTGGCTACAAAAAAAAATTAGTAGCTAAAAACTGAGTATTGGCGACTAAAATTCAGTTTAGTAGCCAAAGGGGGACGTTTTTGGTGACTAAAAATAGGTTTCGTCGCCAAAACTGCAGATTTTTAATTGGAACTTCTTTTTTTAGCAACAAAAAAATAATTAGTAGCCCAAAATAATAGAATTGGCGACTAAGGAGACCTAATTGCTTGTTATCTCCACAATGTGTTGTGGCTTACAAAAAGATCAATACCAATGACATGATTCATAGTCGGAGACCTAATTGCTTGTTATCTCCACAATGTGTTGTGGCTTACAAAAAGATCAATACCAATGACATGATTCATAGTCGGAGACCTAATTGCTTGTTATCTCCACAATGTGTTGTGGCTTACAAAAAGATCAATACCAATGACATGATTCATAGTCGGAGACCTAATTGCTTGTTATCTCCACAATGTGGTGTATTATATGCAAGGGATGAGGAGAACAATGATAATCTATTCCTACATTATGGTATCAATTTGGCATTATGGTGGAGCCTATTTCATGTGGTGCAATAGCATTAAGTGGTTCCACTTTCTTGTACCCACATGTGTAACATTCATTTTGGGGGTTTGGTTAAAGTAGGAAGGAACGAGTTATTTGTGGGTGTGCAGTTTGCGCTATGTTTTGGGAGGTGTGGTTGGAAGGAGATGCAAGAATGTTTAAAAACAATTTTGATGGGATTTAGGACAAAATATGTTATATGTCATCCTTTGTATATGATCAATAGTGATTGTAGAGTGGTGTGTTATTTGTAACTTTATTTTCTTTTACCCTCTTCGAGGACATATTGTCTTTGCTTATACTTTCTTTTTTCATTTTGGTTAATATTAATTTATTTCCACGTCGATAAAAAAAGTGGAAATTTAACTAGTAAAATTCGTTCAATCAAACTAGTTTGCTTGATTTTTTTGTGCACTTCATGCGATAATGTACAATGACATGACAATATTGGTATTGGTGGAACCTAGTATAGTAGAGAGAAGCTATATAGGACCCAAGCCAACTCACACATAGGTGTCAATACGACATGAGTTACAGGTGGATGTTTGCTCAACGGACAACTAAACCCCGAACTTGATTGGCTACTTCCAGGTGTCATCCTTTGGCAACTGTTACCGTAGGATTTAAGCCAATGTCACCCACTCAGATTCCCATTTTCCTTTTCGCTACCAATTCTTTCCTTTTCTATTTGAGATTTCAAAATAAAACCCCGAATCCGAAAACCTAGATCACTTTCACCCATCGCCATTGCCATCGCAATTCATGGCCACTGTCAATGGCGATTTAACCCAACAATCACCTAAAAGAACTCAGGAAAAACAACTAGTAATCACTCTAGATAGAAATTCACTCAAACGGCCTGAACTCCCTCAAGAACTCATCCTTGACATTCTATTGCGATTACCTGTCAAGTCTTTGTTTTGGTTCAAAAGTGCATGCAAGTCTTGGTGCACAATGATATCTAGGCTACAATTTGTGAAAAAGCACCTCAGGCCTCGTTTGGGAACAGGCTAATTTAGTAACTTCTCATAACCAAGGATGACACCAGCAACCCATGGAGGATCATGATTCGATATCCGTTTCACAAGATAAAATCATGTTCTTTGGACTCTTTTTTTGACAGGCCATATGGCTATGCAGTGAATCTCAATTACCTATTAACGACTCTGTGCCTAGATGCTAGGATTGGGGGCTCATGTGATGCGTTGGTATATGTTTACTTTGTCAAAAATTATGATGACATCATTTATAGATGGAATCAAACAACTGGAAAACGTAAAATTTTTCCATCTTTTGGCAAAGGATTTATTCTTTCCATTTCTTATGGGTTTGGATATGACTCCTCCAATGATGATTACAAGGTGGTTAGGATCAGTAATTTTAATGATTCATTTGAAGTTAAGATTTACTCCTTAAGGACTGATTCATGGAGGAAGATTCAGGATTTCCCTAGCAATATAATTGGTTTTCATTCTATGGATTCAGGTAAGCTTGCGAATGGATCACTCAATTGGGTTGGAATCAACCCTAGTGATCACTCTTGGGTTATCACAGCCCTTGATTTAGCAGAGGAGACATACAGAGATATTCCACAACCTAATTACGGGAAGAGTTTTCTTGGTTATTAGTTTGGGCTTTGAAAGGAAATCTCTGTGTTGTTTGTGAGGATACTTTTACTTTTTCTGATGTGTGGGTAATGAATGAATATGGCAAGAAAGAGTCATGGACTAAATTGGTCAGTATGACATACGTGCCGCAGCAAAGGCTTGTTCTATAGTCAGAACCTTTGTGGTATTTCAAGGATGGTGAAATTTTGGTGAATTTTGTTGGGACATTGGTGCTTTATGATCTCATAAAACATACAGTCAAGTATCGTTCCATTTATGGCGTTCCTGATTTTCATGAAGTGGAGATCTATCAAGAGAGCTTAGTATCACCTGATGATTTTATGAAGATGCCAATTGACCTTAATAATTAAGGAATGAGAAGAAGAGGTAATACAATTTCTAGTTATATCTTTTGCTATTTCAAAGTTTCTTTCTTTTATACACAATATCTTTAATTATTTCCATGTTTATTGTGCCCTTCCTATTCATTGAAGTTGGAACTATAATTCGAAGAGCACTAATCACTGTTCTTTATGTTTTCCAAAGTTTGTCTTTCTATAGAATACTTTGTCAAATTTCAAACAATAAAAGAGTGATCATAACATAGATATAGAAAGTAATCAATAGTATTGAACTTACCAAAAAAGTAATCAATAGTATTATATTTCATTCATATATGTTTTGAATAATGTGTTATAACACGAAAGCCATAAAATATATATATATATATATATGAAAAAACTAGAAAGAACACTATAAATTTGTTGTAAAATTCCATATGCATTCTTTTCCCTTTATCTTCTAGGCATTTAAGGGGAACATAATAAAAACCAAATAAATGGGAATGGAAACTAGTAAACCTGGATTAGAAGGCTCACACAATAAGAGATTAATTTATGGTTCCTTAAAGTGCACCTTTCACATCTTAGAATACAGAACTAGGGCTCCATTTTCTTTGATTGTGTTTATCTAGAGAACTTTTCCTTTGAACCATAAAATGCATGCTTTGAGTTAGGATAGTCAATCGAGTACAACTATTGTAGAGTATTTAGCCTGGCATGTGCCTTTACTACTTCCCGTTTGTTCTTGGGTTTGGTCTGAAGTTCATGATAATGGTAAGCAACTAGCTGAGTAACTAATACAGGATATTAAGAGAGAACTTGAGATTTGATAGAGTTGCGAAAGAAAGAAAGGGTTACGAGTTTGGTATCAATAATTGTTCCATATCTTGTGAAACGTAAATGGATTTTTTCACAATCTATCTTGCCTATGCTTATATGCCCTTGTTTGTGAACGGTGTAAATTGCTTATTTGGGATTAGTTATTTCAAATTGTTTTCATTCCTTTTGGTTTATTTCTTTATGGATTTTGAAAGGTCATTGTTAGGATGTCTGCCAATTACCAATTGGCTCATAGGCTTGGATGTTAGCCCAATCACGTGCTATTTGATCTTCAATATGTTTCATAGGTGGGAAACAACGTTGATAGACTAAATTTCACATTTTGTCAAGATGAAACAAGGAAAATTGAATGGTACTTGGCACGAGTATGAGAAGTATGAAGGGTAATGATGAATCTATTAGATTAGAGGCTATCTAGAATTGCTTTAATAGACTTATGCAAATTTTGTATAATGAAACATAACTTTCTCCCTTGGTGTGCAACATTTCCCCAGCAGCTTAGTCTACATTCATCCAATAAAGATACAAGTGTTCTGAGCCTGCTCAAGTTACCAATAAAAAAAGTGATGTTGCACTAAAATGTTCATGATGCCAATCTTGTGTGCTTTTTCCTATACGCTTGGCTTCGAATTATGTAATTTTAAAATTCTACAATCCCAATGAAGTCCTAATTTGTCGTTTTTCTTTTTTCACCCAGAAAAACCATCTTATGATGAAATCTCAATAAGTCCATTTTTCAAAGAATTGAATGATACTAGTGAACAATATGAAATATCTTTTAAGTTGAAATGATATATAGGAAAAGGATAAGGAGGAACAATGTAATTTCTTCTAGGAACTTAACTGGTGGCCTAGCGTGTAGATTCCCCAATGAATCTGTAGTTTAGAAAATTAGGAACAAATTATGTCTGTCTGGAGTTTGGACTTTTAAGTTCACAAATATGTCTATGCTTTTCGAAAATCATATTATATTTGTGGCAAGGCTTGGACTTTAAAACAAAGACATTGTCAGGATTAAGCCCATCTCAAGCTTCTTGTTACTTTTATGTAGAGTAATATTACTTTCAATTGCTTTGAAGTTGTGTATATATCTGCATAACCATCTCAACTAGCAGTATGTACCCTGTAAGAATTTGAATTTGACTACTTATATTCTTGTTCTTGTCTTGTGACCTAGAATTCAATCAAAATCAAATAATGGTTCCTCATAACTGTTGTTGTGGTTCAAGGTTTGTGTCACGACCCAAACCTGCTCCTAAAAGTTTGGTCCATGACCGGCTTGTACATAGGCCTCAAAACAAAATTTTAAAATAATATTTAACCATATATGGGGCATTACGCGGAAGCAATATCAATAAAAGACAACATCCATTGAGCTTGTGCATACATGATAGTTTAATTGGATTTAAGCATTTAAATACATTCCAAATATTCATATACAACCACAGAATTTATATAGATCTCACACACACTCACATAAGACTTACTAATTTATATGACTCCCAACAATAAATTAAGGCCTCCACGTGGAGACATGCCCCAGGTGTCTTGGCAGATAGGCGAACCTTGGTACAACTCTAGTGTCAATCCCCGATGACTCACCTACAGAAAAATACATAAAACAGAATGAGCAAAGCTCAGTGAATAATAGCACTCAAACAATTTAATGATTAAACTTGAGTTGTAATATTTATAACGTATATAAGTGCAAAGGTCATATAATTACTCTTGTGTTGTAAACATTTTCAGAACGGACTTGGACCCAGTCTTTAAACAGAATGGCTTTAAGCCCTTGAACAGAGTGGCATTAAGCCCTTAAACAGAATGGCAATCAGCCCTTAAACAGATCGGCATTAAGCCCTCTTCATGCATGTATGAACTCAAGAGGTGGCTCGCACAAATTCTAGAGGTGACTCGCATTAAGCCCTTAAATAATATTTAACCATATATTTAACCATAGGCCTCACATATGTCACAGAATGGCCATAAGCCTCATAACTTTCTCAGAATGGCCATAGGCCTCATAACTTTCACAGAACAGCCATAGGCCTCAGTTCACATATGTATGGACTCAAGAGGTGGCTCGTACGGATTCTAGAGGTGGCTCGCATTGTAGTACTTAGTTCTGTACAGCACTTTGTTCCATACCAGAGATCAATTATATCTTGTCATAGCATAAACGAAATGGATAAACAGAACAGAATAATCCCAGAATCATAGGAATACCGTTCACGATGGTGTACATAAATTTCCCCATGGTTTATCACAAGCTGACATAGTTGTCTTACATATAACAAATCATTAGTAATAACTATTAACATATAAAGCAAACCATAATTCTATCCAATTAGCCATTTCGATGATTCATTATAAGATATTCAAAACATCATGTTCTTAGTAGGTGGGGCTTATGTTCACAATTGCTTCCTGTCAAGAATTTGTACAGTATTAATTCATGCAGAGACATAGGCAATCTACAGTTCCCAATCATTCATAACAGTTAACATAATTAATTTGCAAAGCACAGAGCGCTAATAATAAGAATTACTAATGGAAAGTAAATTTACAACTACAATAGTATTACTCACAGTGGTAGGTCTCTGATAGCGGTGGAACGATGTCCTCGTCTTGACCTACAAGTACAGTGCACAACACATAATATGAGATTATACTCGATCCTTTACTTATTCTCTTTGATCATTCAATCAATTAGCCATGGTGGTACCAAGCTCATTTTTTCGTAATAAGTTATACTCCATGTCTCAGAAACAGGAGAAATCAATGGGAAATGGTTTAGGTGAAGAAATGGTATAAAATTGGTTGACAGAAAGTGAACAGTTGTCACTAATTTGGGCATAACTATTTCTGTATTTAGAATTTGGGAGTGAGACCACTTCCATTGGAAACTAGACTTCCGGGGCTTGATTTTAGGCTCAAGAATCACTTAAAACGGAGTCCCGAGGAAAAAGATATGCTTATTCAAAGTTGGCTGGACAAAGCTGTCTCCCGCACATGCGGGAAACAAAACCGCACGTGCGGCTCTGGGCAGTGTGCAGTCCGAAAATGGCTCTTTTTGCTCCAACACTTGGTTTTTCCATTTTTAAGCTTGGTTCTTAACATAAATCACTCAAAAACATGTAAAATTGCCCTATAACATAATAAACTAACATCAACCAAGTGTAATTTCATTTCAAACAATTCAATCTTTGTCTCAAAGTTCAAAATTAATGCTTAATCCTTCATGATCTTCAAGGTTCTTAAAAACACAACCCACAACCCACAAATTCACATGATTCTTGCAATCTAAAGTTTATTTCATGATATCCATGAGCTTGAGCTCCACTCAAAAACAAAATTAGAGAACTCAATTTCTAATTCCTCAAATTAGCTCAAGTAAATACATAGATAAACCTTAACCCCAAATGGGTTTAAATCTTCCAGGATCTTTATGATGTTGCCAAATTGATACCTTAAACACAAGATTTCAAGATAGATTATCATACCTAACTCAATCCTTGTCTATCTCTTAGCTCTCTTCAATTCCTCCAAGTCCCATGGGTGATCTTCTTTCTTTTCCTTCAATCCTCTTCAATCATCTTCAAAGCCTCCATGGATGTTGGGAAAGTTTTCTTTCTTCCCTCTCTCCCTTTCACGGTTTCCTCTCTCTCTCTTTAGATATTTTGGTGTTTTTGACTCAAAAAAGATGAGTTCACCACTTATATAACTCATACACACCTATATATTTAATTAGATAAGCTTTATCACAAATAAGGAGGGCCAAACACGCCCTTACGAATCGCACAAAATTAAATTTCAATTAAACTTCCCAGATGACTCTAAAAGTTGTGCTGATCATAAATATGTCCCCTGTTCTGGTTTCGGAAGCCTCTAAGGCCTTCAATTTGCAGTATAAAGTTAACCACCCAAATGTGCATTAACGAATCAGACAAATTAGATTTCCAATTAATTTTTCCAAATAGTTCTAAAAATTTCCATTAACATACCCAAGTACTCAATTTTGATTTCTGAACCCATAAAGGTCGGTAATTTCAATTTTAAGTCCGTAACTCAACTGATAAAACTTCAATTCCAATAGATATAATTACATTAAAGCACATCATTTCATAATTAAATAAAGATGATTTCTGATACGCATTTTGGGGTTGTTACAGTTTGTGAATTTGATTTGATTTCATCTCAAAATCAATCCATATAATGGTATTGAAATTCAGCTAGTAGCCACACATATGGTGGGCCAGTCAGCACAGGGATTCCGCTTTCTATTATTGTCTTGTGAGTTTATAACTTGAGATGTAAGAAGTCACTTAGAAGATTATTGAGTTTGGACCAGCATATTATGCGATAATTGGCATGCATCAGTTTTCAAATCTCATTTAATTGTGTAAATTTCTTATTACCAATTATGTGTCAAATCTGTCTTATCTAGGTGTTCGACATAATTTTGTGTATTGTGGTTGTGGTATTGTTGCTTTCTTGAATACTATGCAATTTGTACTTATATTTTGTAGTTTGTGTATTGTGGTTATGTACCCAATATTTCCCCTCCCAAGCACACATTAATGTATACTAATTTGGTGCTATTTTTTTTAACTCGTGTTTCTGATTTTATGGAAGCTGAATTTTTGTAGGCTTTGCCTCAGCACCTAAAAAAAAAAAAAATTTAAAAAATTCCCCATCCTTAAGAGTCCTTGAAGATATCTTCTCTTTTTAATTCATCTATGATTTGTTGCCTATATGCTATTTTCTGCCAGTATGGAGCAGGTCCATAGTTTTTTATTTTGTACAAATTTTGTGTTAATTACACTTTACCCCCCTCAACTTTATAACTGTACATTTGGACCCGTTAATTATCAAAATTGCTTTACTTTCACCTCTTAGACTAAATGTATGGTTTTAAAGTTGAAGGGGGCAAGATGATATTCAATGATAGTTAAGGAGGTAAAGTGTAATGGCAGAGGTGGGACGGTAGTTAAGTGAGAATTGTTTATTGTATTTATTCGAGTGAGACGGGTTGGAAAAAGTGATGCACTTTTTTGGCCTATTTTTTTGCTTTTCATTTGCTATCAATAAAAGAGCAGCATATTATTATTACTTCTTTTTTTTTTTTAAATTTGTTTTTGGATGAGTAGCATTTGGTGGGACTTAAGGCTTGGTTTGGTTTGGTTAGCATTTGGTTGTTATATATTGTTAGTGCTCTTGGTGGCTTTTCGTTTCAACTAGCGCTGATGTTTGGGCATTTCAATTGACATTTATATTCAAATTTTTTAGCTTTTCTTTTCTTTTATTTTCTTTTCCTTTTCCCTTTCTTTTTGGTCTAGTGGAATTGGCTGAGTGCTACTGCTGATTGTTCTTTTTCACGATGTTTCTTCCTAAGAATTTCTTCAGTTGGTTTTGCAGATCACATATAATATGGAACCCTAGTGAGAATATATGCAGAGTATCATATCTGTTGTTCACTCTCATTTTTCTTCCAAGCATATTAATATGTCACGTTTTAATTTGTTATATAGATTGGATGTGTGAAAATATTTAATTTCGAAAACTATTATTAGATGTACTGATGGATGTCTTTGTGTTCCAATTGTGTTATCTTTCTAGGGCACATTCTGCAGCATGAGGCAGTGGTGCTTGGAGTAGAACAGCTTTAGTTTTAGGAATCAATTGTTTAGTTGTTCAACGATGGCTTGCGGAGAAGAGAGAGAGAACGAAAGACATTAAAATAAACAAAAAGTTTGTGGTTTGCAGCTGAATTTGGCATAAACCTATTTTATTATCTTTGTTTGGAGTTTTGAACCTAATGTTGCTTTTCTTTGTGTGGATCTGTTAAATGTTCTAGATGTTTGATCACCTAATTTGGAAACTATTTGTGTGGATCAAAACTTTATGCTATTTTCCTTTGACTTTGGTTCTCATTTATATATTTTTGGTTATATTTCATGCTGAATGCTATAAATTAAAGAAAAGACCAGTCATAGGAACTGGACTCACATTGATTTGACTGCACGCTTTTAGACTGTTTCAAACCTTCAATTAGCTAATGCATTGTTTGTTTCAACGAAAACATTTCCTATGGAAAAAAATGTATTTTTTCGGAAAACATTTTCCTATGTTTGGCTATGGATTTGAAATTAATGTGCTACCGGTTGTGGTAGTGTTGGTGTTGGTGGTGGTGGTGGCGGCGGCGGCGGCGACGGCGGCGGCAGCGGTGGCAGCGGTGATGGGCAATGGTCTTATGGTGATAGTGGTGATGGTGTGCCAACGGTGGTGGTGGTAGTGGTGATGATGGTAGAATGGTGGTAGTATAGTGCCGTTGGTAAGACTTTAATCCGGGAAACATTTTGCATCTTTCAAAAGTAAAAAACATGTTACGTCCAAATGAGTTTGTTTTCCTCTATACCAAGCAATGCAGAAATTATTTTTTGCCAAAACAAATAAAGAGAATTTCTGAGTTGGATTTCCTGCACTTGTTCTTTTTTCATTTTTTTATACTCCATGCCTGCATGATGTTTTGCTCTACATTTTTTTCCTTTAATACATTAAACATTAATTGCGTTCCTCGTTTATTCATGTTTTCCCGATGAGATATATCTCTTGAAGTTGAGGATTAAAACGATAGTAGCAATTTTAGCAAGAGTTTTGTACACTCAGTCACAAAACTTGAATAAATTGATTGTCAGTGTATTTTGTTGGTTGAACTTTGGGATTGATTAATCAAATGGTGTAACTATTTTCTTCTGGCGAATTTGTGCTTGTGATGATGGAACATTGTGAATAAGAACTACTAGAAATTGCACTACTTTTTTTTTCATCTAACCATTCTTATTCAGTTTGCAACTTCCTATCTTTGGTCATTGTGGGGGCTGAATAATGATATGTTAAGGAAGGCCAAGATATTTGAAGACATCTGACCGAAGTCAATTCGGCTATAATCTAAGGGCTCTTGAAGCTGAATGTACAGTTGGCCATATGAAGAGCTGAATGGGAACCAACACACAATCAGAAGGCTGAGTAAGCAATCAAGTGCGAGATTAAGAGTGGGCCTGACCCTTGGGCCCAAAGGGTAATATAAAAAGAGGAACATCAACAAAAGAGAGGTATGTTAGAATAACTTGAGATAGAAGTAAACTTGAGAGCATACTAACTTGTCTGACGGAGTGCTAATTCTGGCACACCCAACCGGAGTGTTCATCCTTTTTTCAGGCAGTAATCGGAGGATCAAGGACGTCTGATTGGATCCTGGAGTATTTCCAAACCACTTCTCCACAATTGGCGCCGTTTGTGAGAATACTCAAGCACATCCATGGCAAGCGTAACAGATGATCCTCCGGTAGTCACTAATGACATTATGCCAAGAGATGACATCACTCCAAGAAACATGCTTGGACTGAAGAATATCACCGCACGACGGGCCTTGAACTTTGACACAATAGCCCAAACCTCACCCTCAACTTCGATGCAAGAGAGAATGCATACAATCATGGATCAAGCAAAGCAAACTGAACAGCGTCTAGAAAACATGATGGCTGAGAACGAGCGCCTGCGCCAGGAGTTGGCCCTAGAACTTGCCCAATCCCAGCAGGCCGCATGCCATGATCGGGGTCGACCCCCAGGAAAGAAGGATGACTGACGACGTCGACTTCAGAAACATGATAATGACAGTGATTTTGACTCACCATCCCAAGAACCCAGAAAGAAGGGACGAGTCAATGTATCCAGCTCATCCGAAGGAAGCCCGTATGCACGACACAAGTGAAGGAAAAGAATTATGATTCGGATGAAGAAGACAAGCATGACCCTTTTCTGCGACGAATCGCAAGGGCTGTGCTATCTAAGAAGTTCAAAGAACCATCGTTCACCCTGCGGGTCAAAGCCGGATAGAAAGCCGTTAAGACAGCTCCATTTGGAGTCGTTCAGCCGGTAAGCGTCGGGCCATCAAGGAGCCCCGAACCGCGGAATCGGGCTAAACATGACAAAAGGCATGACTCGCGCTGATCAAGTGATCAGTGTTCACACCAATCAAATGAACAATATCAAGTGGATAGTAGGCGCACAAGATGCTTGGACAAGAAGTACACGGAGTTAGCAGAGCCGATCTGCAAGATTTTGTCAAAAGTTTAACACCTTCCATTCTTTAAATGGCCACCCAAAATGATGGGACCTCCTGATACAAGGAGAAGGGACAAGCAGTGTGAGTACCACAAGGACCATGGTCATGACACCGACAGTTGTTATGCACTAAAGGACCACTTAGAGGAGCTGGTACAAGATGGCCGGCTGGTGCAACACGTCCGAAAGAATAATCCATCGAACATGGTAGCCCTACAGCCGAATTCACCTCCACTTGGTGTATTTCACATGATATACAGTCTGCCGTCGTCAGCCGAGGTACAGAAATTCAGTTGCAACCTAGCCCGCATAGGCCAATCACACTAGCAAAACAGCCCCATGAAACTTGGAGGATTAGTTTTGACGACACCGACTTAGTTGGAGTAACTCTCCCCCACACCGATCCAATCGTCATCGAGTTACGCGTGAATAGATTCACCATTGAACGTGTTCTCATTGATTAGGGAAGCACTTTGTTAAACTCAGCTTCACTGACTCAGATTTGTCGCTGGCCGATTACCCATTATTTGGCTTCAATGCTATGCTCGAGTATCCTTT